AGTAGTCAGCAGGATGAATATAAAGATTTCAGCTTCCCAAATCAGTCTTTGGGAGAGCTCAGACCCACTGGGAGAAGAGAGTGATTTTGGTTCAGCCTGTTTCTGTATCATCAGGACGTACTTTGTTGGTCATCTCTTCCCTCTTCTCTCCCTACCCCAGACCCATCAGCCCCAAAATCCTGTGAGGAAATGAGCTGTGAGTTTGGAGCCTCGTGCGTGGAAGTCAACGGCTTTGCCCACTGTGAATGTCCATCACCGCTCTGCTCAGAGGCCAACATGACCAAGGTTTGTAGGAGAGGTGGCTGTTGGGGGCTGAGGGGCGTGTGTGGGGACGTGTGGCTGGCTCAGCTGCTCATGTCTCTTCTTCACAAGAAGCAGATGGGCAAGTTCAGTCCCTGTCTGTGGTGCACGGGGAAGGGTTGTAGATGTCTCCCAGCAGAGCTGGGTGCTCTGTACCCCATCTGGCATCTCTGAGCTGCTCTGCTCCTGGGCTTCCGCAGACCATCACCTCTTTGCTTCAGAGAGACACCTGCAAAGCTTCTGCTTCCAGCGTTTAGAGATGGGTTTATTTTGCCCAGGGCTTGGAGGACAGAGGTGCCACTCACATTTCCCCTCTGCCTCCCAGGTGTGTGGCTCTGATGGTGTCACTTATGGGGACCAGTGCCAACTGAAGACCATTGCATGCCGGCAGGGCCAGGTCATCACGGTGAAGCATGTGGGGCAGTGCCATGGTGAGTGTCTGCTGCTCTCGGTGCTGGGCCAGTGCCAGCTCACTGGCCTGACACTGGACCCAGGTCTGGCTGCTTCCCTCTGCAGTTCCTCACTGTGCTGTGACTCTTTGTGGCACAGCAGATCCACTGCCCAGAGCAAGTGCCTGAGGGTTTGCAACATGCTTCTCAGAGTCACAGCCAACCTTTCCCAGAGCTACCTCTCCTTACCTACCCTTCCTCTTCCTTTCAGAGTCCATCACCCACACAAGCCACACCTCACCACCCACACCACTGCCCACGCTGCCCCTGGACAAGTTAATCCTTCCTCCACCACTGCGACTCACCACCCGGGCTCCAGAACCCACTGAGCTGGCTACCAGCTCCCTGCTGTTGGAAGCCAGACCTACTGAAAGAGGTCACCCTACAACAAGACGCATCACGACTGCCAGACCAGCCACCACACCGTGGATGACCCATGGGGTGTATAAGACCACCGTCCGCCCTCTCTCCACTGCACCAGTGGTCCTGGCCACCACCCAGCCTGCCTACGCTGAGTCAGGGAGTGCAGAAGGCAGTGGAGACCAAGAGATGGGCATCAGTGGAGACCAGGAATCTAGTGGGGCAGGCTCTGCCGGTGAGTGCGCGCTTGTTGGATCTGGCAGGTTGGTTGTGGGCTAAATCATACCCTGACTCTCATGATGGAATGAAGTTGTGTCTCAACCTCATTCTCTAGTACAGAGGGTGAGGTCTTACCTCCTGCTGGTGAATGTTCCTCTTAATGCTCTGCAGGGGAAGAGGAGGTGGAGGAAAACCAGGTAACTTCCACCCCAGCCATCGAGAGGGCAACGTGTTACAACACCCCGCTGGGATGCTGCTCTGATGGCAAGACGGCCGCTGCTGATGCAGAAGGCAGCAACTGTCCAGGTGAGTTTGTCTCGGGGTTGGGCTCTGGGCTCCATTTCGCTGGTCAGGAGTTAGGCTGAGCTCTTGCAAGAGAGGGAGAGATGCCACTGAGAGCTGCCTGGCAGGGAGAGCAGCATTGTGCTGTGCTCCCCAGCTGGCAGTGAGCGCAGTTCCTCTGTCCATCTTGGGGCTGGTGTGTCCCTGAAGAGGTGTTTGTGGGGACCTGCTGAGCCATGGTGGCTGGGGGACCTGCTGAGCCATGGTGGCTGGCAGACGTGGTGCCCACTGTGCTGCTCTTCACGCGGGGAGGCAGGACACCCTGTAATTCTCTTCACTTTCTTCCTTGACTGTTAGAGCCTTCAAATGTTGACTGTGTTTTGCCCAGGTTTCTGCAGAGCCCACAACTGGGACTAGAGGGGATGAGGGAATTTCTTGGACTCCCATTTTATCTCAGTCAATGGCTGTAAAGGGAGCTGGGCTGACCAGGACCAGTTTAGTGCCAGGGCCCAGTGGTCCTGCTGGGCTTCCTGGGGACTCTGAGCTTCTTGACTCACACCATGGTTCCCAAGGGTGAACGCTGCTCGCATGACCTGGGCAGGATCTGCCTTGCCTACGCCCCGTCCCTTTCACACTGTCCCTGCTGAGGAAACACCAAGCCACCTGTGCTCCATCAGAGTATTGCCCCATCCTCATGACCCTAAGAATCTTTGCTCTGGGTCTGTCTCCTAGTTGTGTCCTCACTGATGTCCTTCTTAACTCTCCCCATTCCTTGGGGTTCCCAGCAGGACATCCCCTCTGGACACCACGTTCCCCTTTTAACCCATGAAAGGACAGCTGCTAGGAACCTCCTGGATGGTTCCTCACAGCGGGGATCTTTCTGTTGCTGCCTCTGCACTCCCACGGCTCCCCTGGAAGGGAACCACACCTTGGGTTCCTCTTGCAGTTTCAGTCTGGTTTTGTGAGGCTGGCCACAGCCTATTCACTGGTAGGGTCTCTGCTTCCCTCTGCCAGCACAGGTCTTCTCCAGAGTCCACGTTTCACCTGTTTGCATGCACGTGTGTGATCCTGCCGTGTTGACTATGTGCTGCTCTGGCTAACGTCTTTCTCTTGTTACTCAGCCGGTGCAGGGGGGCTGCTCTCCGGGCCGGAGCTCAGAGGAAACCGTATGGTAAAAGCTGCCATCTCCAGCCTGGTCTTTACCATCTGCTCCTGCACCCTCTGATACTAATCCTCCATGGCGCTCTCCCAGACCCATCCAGACTAACCCCAACACTGGCACTACCCGCACACTGCCATCACCCTTTCCCCCTCCCAGGGACTCCAACACTCCTTGCGTCAGCCAACACGCCTGTCCCCTGCCCATGAGCTGACTAAAGGTGTTCGTCTTCTTTACCCTCCCTCCCATAGCTACCAAAGTCTTCCAAGGAGTCCTCATTTTGGAGGAGGTGGAAGGTCAGGAGCTGTTCTACACCCCCGAGATGGCTGACCCCAAGTCAGAGCTCTTTGGGGAGACGGCCAGGAGCATTGAGAGTGCGGTGAGTTCTTTGTGCTTGATCTAGGGTCTGGTTAGGGCTTTCCTGGCCTCAGCAAAAGAAGAGAGGACCCTGCTCACTTCTGTCTGCGCTGTGGTGGACGGATGACTAAATCCCAGACACTCACTTCCAGAAACATGGTCCTTACCTGCTCAAACTTGTCTGTTGAAGGCACCTTGAGGTACCAGCACTCTGCAGGAAAGCTCCTGCCTGCTGCGCTGTGTTCCAGCCATCCCGCTGAAGCAGGGACCAAGGGCTCTCTGCTTTCTGAGCACTGCTCCCTGGGTACGTGTGACAGTACCCTGTGCCACCACCACCCTCTGGAACAGCAGATGTTCTGTTGTCCAACCATGGGAACCACTTTGGGTTGCCTCTTGCTTTGCTTTTTCATTTGTGATGGCTTCTGGGGAGGCTGTGACCTGTCACTGCTGTCTGTAAAATGGGAACACAGAGACCTATCTACAGATTGTGTTGAGTGCTTTGGAGGACCATTGCTCCATGTTGGTTTGGGGATTTTTTTCTTTTTTTTTTTTTTAAATGAGCTTAACCTACAAAAGTTGGGTGTGAATGTGGTTTATCACCAGGGGTGGTGTTTTCATGGGGTGGGCACTTCAGAGTGTAAGGAGATGATGCACCAGTTCTAAGAGGTGCCCTCTGTGAATTTGTCTTCTCTCTCTTTAATCTCTGTGCGTTACTAGCCTCTACCACATGCTTTATCAGTGAGCTCCATCCTTTGTTATGTGCTGGCTCAAAAATTATCCTTTTTTAGCTTGATCTTGGTGATGGGACTGTTTGGACAAGAGATTCTGCCTTAACACTCTGGTTTTCCCAAAGTGTCCTTATCTCCATGCAAAGCCCTTTGACAAAAAACATCCAAAACTCCTTTACCCCTCCAGTTCAGCTACACAACTTGTAGCTACTTGTGTAAATCCAGCCTCCCACCTTCAAGGAGAACCCTCCCTGCATTGCCAGCTCTTGGGGTAGGTGAGCTTGGCGTGGCAATGTGTACATGTGGGTATGCCAAGGAAGCTCTGGCTGAGGTAGCAACGTTATGCACAGCAAATACAAAGCATCTCTGCAAGGAGATTAACGTATTTAGAGCTGGTTCCAAGCTGCACTTAGAAGTTGGCAAGCTCTCAATACAGTCCTAGAAGCAGATGTGTGCCCAGCATATGGACCATATGGTTCATGCAGTTCTGTGTCACAATAGCCATATTTCCCAATACAACAGTGGCTTCTAGCTGAGGATGCAAACATGCACACAGAAGCTTCGTTCACTGGTTCATCCATTCTCAACCCTGAGAAGGCAAGAGACTTTGCTGGGTTCTGTTTTCCCAGGCTGGGGGAATTGAAGGTCTTCTGTCTCAGAGGATGTTGGTGGCTGGGCTGAATTCCTGCCACAGCCCTGTGCTGCAGAGACCTGTTGTCCCTGTGTGACCTACTTGCACACACCCATGGATATGATGTGCTCCTTTACCCCTCTGAGACCACTGTGCCTGAATTTATAGGGCAAATCTGTACCATAGGGACCATTAGTCAGTTAATTACCTTCTATCTTTGCCTTGAAGGAAGCAGTGGCCTCCAGCTGTGGCAGCTGCTGGTCCAACACCAGGATGGATGGATAGCTATCTAGCAGGGGTGTTAAAACTCTGACTTGCTGTAAGCCTTGGATTGTCACTGTCTCCTTCATGTGACTTCAGACAAATCCTGCAATGTCTGAGAGCCAAGTTTTCAAAGGCAATCAGGTACTTAAAGATGCAGAATGGTGCCTTACAGGATTTTCCAAAGAGCCTAAGCAGGTTTACACAGCTTTAGAAGAGATCAGTAAGACTTAGATGCCACACAATCGCAAATCCCTGGATGAACTGCAAGGTGCATCTGGTCTGGCTCCATTCCACTCTTCTCCATGGTTATGATGGGGATAACTCACGTTCCCCACACTAGTTCTGGATCCTGTTCTTACCTCTGACTGCCAGCAATAAATAGAGACCATGAGAAATTATCGCCCCGCTCTCTGCAGGCGTCTTGCAAAGGTTTGGGTGCAAACCCCTGTGGGGTGAAACCAAGGAGACTCACTGAGACTCCAGATCTTTTACTGATAGGACCTGTGTCCTGGGATGTGCCCATTACTCAGTTTGTTTTTCTTTCCTCCTTCACCTCTGACCAACTAGCTGGATGAGCTTTTCCGCAATTCTGATGTTAAGAAGGATTTCAAGAGCATCCGTGTCCGAGACCTGGGGCAGAGCAGCGCTGTCCGTGTCATTGTGGAGTCCCACTTTGACCCAGGTAAGACCCTTCCCAGTGCTGATTCACTATAGAATTGTTTTGATTGGAAAAGATCATCAAGTCCAACTATATGGGATCAACATCTGCCTGAGGATGGAGCAGGCATTCCCAGTGGGGCTGCCAGCCTGAGAAACACTCGTGCAGCAAGGAGCATGAAAGAACCATATTAAAATTTGCTGGGAAAATGCTTTCTGTCCAGTCAAACCAGCAGATGGTGGGAGGAGGTGTGGTCTAAGCTGGTGCCTGGAAGGCTGGAAGCATTTCCCAAGGGAAAGGAATGATTTGGATGCATTGTGGGGAGGTCAGGAGAGGGAAACTGCCAGGTGGACCTGCATCTTCACTCTTTCATTTCTCCTCCTGGCTATGATCAGCCACGTCCTACACGGCACCTGACATCCAAGGGGCCTTGCTGAAGCAGATTAAAGCTTCCAAGAAGAAGACCATCCTGGTGAAGAAGCCCCAGCAGGAGCATGTCAAATTCATGGACTTTGGTGAGCCCTCTCTGTCTGTGGTTAGACCCCTCTCTTGGCTTAGGCTTGTGAATGGACAGGTTGGCTCTTCTGGTCATGCCAGGACCTTTCATCTGTAGCAGTAACCCATCAAATGCTTCCCCAGACAGTGCTCTCCAGAGCCAGGAGGTCAGTCCATGTGCCCTGATGTGTTCTCAGCTCAGGAAGGCCATAAAGGGGGGTAATATTGTTCCCTTCTTCCATAGCACAGGGCAAGCAGCAGTGCTGCACCGTGGTGATGTGACGTGGAACGTGAGCCCTTCCCGGTGCTCCTGAGGGGGTGACCAGCCTCACCCATGGGATCTCATGCTGATAAACCCAAAACACCAATTTTTTAGGAAAGAAAGACGTGCAGCCACAGCTGCACCGGGCACACAGCTCTGCCTGGGAGCATGGCCACCCTGTGCCAGGGTGGGAGGAGAGGCAGCATGGTGATGCTGTGGAGAAGCACCCTGTGCAGGCAGCTGCCAAATGGTGCAGTGGGATCTGTGGGACCTGGAGAGCAGAGGGGAGAGGGTTTTTGGGTGTGTGGTAGCCTGGAAGAACCCTCCATCCAGCTCTCTGCTGTGCTCCCACCCCAAAATCCCGAGCAGCTTTCCCTGTCCTCAGAGATGGTTTCAAAGCACCAACCTTCACCTGCATTTTGCTGTGTTCCAGACTGGATTCCCAGGCTCTTCACCACCACTGTCACCACAACCACAGCCACCACCATGGCACCTGCCACCACCCGCAGGTACACCACAGCCGCCGCTGCCACCACAGTCCACGTCCTGCGCCCAGATGCCGCCGGCCGACCCAGCACCAAGCTGGCAGGAGCTGTGAGCACCAAGAGACCCACCTCCACCCTCCCTGCCACCACCCGGCGCAAGCCCACGCGCCAGCCCCCCACCACAAAGAAACCCTCACGTCCCTGTGACTCCCACCCCTGCCTGCACGGTGGCACCTGCGAGGATGACGGGAAGGAGTTCACCTGCAGCTGCCCAGCAGGAAAAGGAGGAGCTGTCTGTGAGAAACGTAGGTTCCTCTGCTCTGTGTTTGTCCATGCTCCAGCAAAGTGCCTGGTGATGGGGAGATGTGGGGACACGTGCAAGAGCCAGCCCCATAACTAGTGCTGGCACCTCACATGCAGCAGGCAGGAGGTACTGCTTAAAGCCTCATCCAACCTGGAGAAGGTTGGATTCCCAGGAATTTTTTAGGAATTTTCTTATTCCTGAAAATCTCCATCCTTAAAGCTATAAGCTGGAGCCCTCAAAGCTGCTCCTGGATGTGGGTGTCCAGCCCTGTTCATTTTGACCTTCCACATCCCCTGGAAAATCTCAGCTGTGATAAATAAAAGCCAGGGATGATGAATCTAAATCCATCATGTGGGATTCTGGGAGGACAGCTAAAAATTATCTCAGGAGCAGGGAAGCTGAGTTAGGAGGAGCTGTATGTGCAGCAGAGCTCAGCTGAGGGCACAGGGGATGTGATAACTGGGCATGGAAAGGACCGACAGCACTGGTCCTTACTGGAGGAGCTGATTGGGACACCACTGAAGTCAAGTACTGGGGGAGCAATTCTACAGATCTCTGAAGCCTGGGAGGGATCTTTGGGGGGCATGCCATCACAAGAGGAGATGGTTGCTACCAGGATGAGTGGCTGGAAGGTGGTGACAGGGGATAATTGGGCAGGAGCATGGGCCCAGAGGAGAGAGTGAGCTTCTTTCTGCCATTCCAAGGGCTCTCTTTGCTTTGTACAGGTAGGAACGTGTTCCCAGGCTCACGTCAGGCCTTTATCTGCTCTCTGTCCTCCTACTCCCTCCTCTCCTTCATCCCCTCTTCCTTTCTCTGCCCTCCCCGGCTCTTGCAGCTATCAGGTACTTCATCCCCAGCTTTGGTGGCAAGTCCTACCTGGCCTTCAAGATGATGAAGGCGTACCACACCGTGCGCATCGCCATGGAGTTCAGGACTGTGGAGCTCAGCGGGCTGCTGCTCTACAACGGGCAGAACCGAGGCAAAGACTTCATTTCCCTGGCACTGGTCGGTGGCTTTGTGGAGCTCAGGTGGGTGCCCTTCCCCTCAGCCCTGGGTGCTGTGGACTTTGGTGTGACCCTGGACCTTGATAGGACAAGAGGAAATGGCCTTAACTTGCACCAAGGGCAGTTGAGATGGGATGTGAGGAAGAATTTCTTTGCTGAAAGGGTTCTGAGGCATTGGAAGGGGTTGCCCAGGGCAGTGGTGGAGTCCCCATCCCTGGAGGGATTGAAGAGTCGTGTAGACATAGTGCTGAGGGACATGGGTTAGTCATAGGGGACTTGTCAGTGTTGGGTTCATGATTGGACTCGATGATCTTAAAGGGCTTTTCCAATCAAGGCCATACTATGTGTGTGGTGGAAGCAGAGCAGCTGCATTTACCACGAATGGTCCTTGCAGGACACCAGGAGGGTGTTGTGCTTGAACTTGCAGGCTGAGAAACGGTAACATCAGATGAACAAGAGAAGGAGGAGCGGTTTTTTCTGGTGTAATAGGAGTACTGAGGGGACTCATTCCTCGTGGTACTTTTCAACAAGGTTAATTCATTTATTTCAGTTTGAAGTTTGAAAAGCTAAAAGGTGTGGGAGGTTGATTTTTTTTTTTGAGCAAGTGAGAGGTTGTGGGGTTTTATACTGGAAAAAGAAATGCAGTGGGGAAAAGAAAAGGAGAAAGGCCCCAGAAATCCAAGCTGAAATGATTGGCAGGTAGTGATAGAACAAGGGGTGATGGCTGGAAACCGGAAGAGGGGAGATGGAGATGAGATGGGAGGAAGAAATTCTTTGCTGTGAGGGTGGTGAGACAGTGTCCCAGGTTGGCCAGAGAAGCTGTGGCTGCTCCTCCCTGGAAGTGTTCTCGGCCAGGCTGGATGAGGCTTTGAGCAACCTGGTCTAGTGGAAGGTGTCCCTGCTGATGGCAGGGGGGTTGGGACTGGGTGAGCTTTAAGGTCCCTCCCAACCCAAACTAGACTGTGATTCTATGGTTTTTGTAGTTCCAAAAGCTAAAGATGCAGATTTGGAATGAGCTGAGGTTCAGGACAGATCTTTGGAGACTGCAAAGACCAGACAGGTTCTCAGGCAGTCAGTCCTGACCTGCTCCCTCTTTTCTACTCCAGGTTCAACACCGGCTCTGGCACGGGTGTCATCACCAGCAAGGTCCGCGTTGAGCCTGGCAAGTGGCACCAGTTAGTGGTGAACCGCAACCGCCGCAGCGGCACGCTGTCTGTGGATGGGGAACCCCACGTCAGCGGGGAGAGCCCGACCGGCACCGATGGGCTCAACCTCGACACGGATCTCTTCATCGGGGGAGCACCTGAGGATCAAATGGCTGCGTGAGTGAGGGTGCTGGACCTGGGTGTCACAGTGTCCCTGGGGGTTGCAGTCCTGCTTTTCTGACAGAGAATGAATTCTGTGATTCTGTCGCAGTGAAACCAGGACAAACCCTCTGCCTGCCAGCAGGCTCCAGGGATCGCAATCCTGGAAGAGCGAGCCCAAGAGATCCCTGAGAGAATCCCCAGCTTTCCAGTCACCCCTTGTTAATATACTGAATATGATGTGATATGGAATATCTCACTGGCATATCTAAATGCCAATTTGGGGCTTTGCTAATTACCACGCTTCTCCCCCTGAGTCCTTTGCACTTGCAGACTGGCAAAACGCAAAGTCCTTGAACTTCCAGCAACAACTAAAAACATCAGTATGTTATCAATGTTCTTCTCCTAAGATTTATATAAATATTTATATAATATTAAATAACAAATCCCACACTGAAACCAAACCACAGCTATTCTAGCTGCCAAGAAGAAAATTAACTCCATCCTAGCAAAACCAGGACAGTTGTGGAATGGGGTTTCTCTCAACCTGGGAGGCCTCTTAACACACAGCCTGACCCCGATGCTTGGAGGACCTCAGCGTTGTCCTCCAAGCATTTTTGTCCTCAGGCACAAAGCCCCTGCTCACTTTGTCCTTTGTCCCCTCAGGGTGGCAGATCGTACTGCAGCTACAACCGGCCTGAAGGGCTGCATCCGCCTCCTGGATGTGAACAACCAGATGTATGACCTGCGGGAGAAAGGCAGCGACGTGCTGTATGGCAGCGGGGTGGGCGAGTGTGGCAACGACCCCTGTCACCCCAACCCCTGCCACCATGGCGGCATCTGCCACGTCAAGGAGGCAGAGATGTTCCACTGCGAGTGTCTCCACACCTACACCGGTATGGGGAGGGGGCTGCAGACAGGGCATTACTGGGGGTCTTGGTCCCACTGACTGAGGGATTGCAGAGTCTCTAGGGCTCATGTGGTGAGGTGCAGTGGTGGGGATGTGGTGTGGGGTGTCAGCAGTGGGTTAGAGGGCAAAGTGTAGGATGAAGCTGCACCCAGTGAAGTTAAATTTAGGGTATAGACTTATTCATAGGTACATAAGACCAAGATCTGTTTCTTCTAATGCATCAAAAAATTTCCCCTTGTATTTTAGGGATGTGATCTGGCAATGGTATCATCTACCACTTGTGGGGTCCACTTTGGAGGGCTTCTTAGGTCTTGGGAACCCCACCTGAGATGGGAGAAGGTGGCTGGCAGGAGACATCAGAGATATTTCTCTCTGGTCAGATGTTTCCTGACGGCTGTTGGTTTGAGATGCTGACGGGTTGTGCTGCCTTTTCTGCTGCAGGGCCAACGTGTGCTGACGAGAGGAATCCCTGTGACCCGACGCCCTGCCACGTCTCTGCCACCTGCCTGGTGCTGCCAGAGGGAGGTGCCTTGTGTGCCTGTCCCATGGGCCGGGAAGGAGACTTCTGCGAGCTAGGTGGGACGGGAGCTGGCAGAGGAGCGGGGCTGGGGAAGGGGGTGGAACTGAAGGTGCTGATTTCCCCAGCCTGGGTGGCCAGGAAGCCTTGCTTGCTGTGGCTCTGGGGCACTGGCTGAAGCTGCTCTGCCCTCCTCTTCCTCACCATTCCCTCGTTTGTGCTCAGTGACAGAGCAGGACCACACCATGCCCTTCCTCCCGGAGTTCAATGGCTTCTCCTACCTGGAGCTGAATGGGCTGCAGACCTTCGTTCCTGACCTGCAGTAAGTGCCAGGGAATAGGAGAGGGGCTGATTTGAGGGAGACAGTTCATGCTCTGAGCCTCTCCTGTCACATGCTGGCTCTCCTTAAACACATCTTCCCTTTTGGAGGGTTTGTCCAGAGGGACTGGCACCTCCAGAATCCCCACAGATGGAGCCAGTGGTATCTCTTACCTGGCAAAGGTGCCTCACACAGGTGGCATCTCCCTGCCAGACCTGTGGTCCCAGGCAGGCTTCCTGGGACTGATCTTCGAAGAGCTGGGCACACTGGGGTGGAGGTAGAGAGCGTGTGGGCAGCTGGATTGAAGGGTATCCATAATCCTTCTCTCCTCAGGGACAAAATGTCCATGGAAGTTGTATTCCTGGCCAAGAATCCCAGCGGCATGATCTTCTACAACGGGCAGAAGACAGATGGCAAAGGGGACTTTGTCTCTCTGGCCTTACACGATGGCTACCTGGAGTACAGATACGACCTGGGCAAAGGGGCAGCTGTGCTCAGGTAGGGTGGGCTGCTGGCTGGGGAGCTGCTCATCAGGGTGGTGGTGACCACAGAGGCAGGAGAGGGACTTTCAGTGTCCAGCACTGGCTTTGAGCTCTCCGCTCCAGAAAACCAGGAGCTGGGGCAGCCCAAGCTGGTCAGGGGAGGTTTCCAGTGCTGTGTTTGCAGGTGGTCATGTCAGAGCTCTCATTTGTGTGTCTTCTCCTCCCTTCTGACCACCAGGAGCAAAGAGCCAGTTCCCCTCAACACCTGGATTAGTGTCTTGTTGGAGAGGAATGGGCGCAAAGGGGTAATGAGGATCAACAACGGCGAGAGGGTGATGGGAGAGTCACCGGTAAGTTGATGGGTCAGGGAGAGCTGGGTGGGCTCCCAGCCTTGTACCTCTGGTGTGAAATGAGCTGAGAAGTTCTCAGGCTCGTGGGCTTTCACTCCCTGAGGTGCGTGGCTTTAAGGGTGGAGGAGGAGTTGGGGGAAAGGATGCTGCAGGGCAAAGCCTGCCTGTCCCTCTTACCTGCTCTGTAGGACAGCAACTACACACCTCTTCCAGCTCTTCCTTGTCCCCACCACACACAGAGACCTCTGCCAGCTCTTCCTTGTCCCTCACCACCTCTTCCTTGGCCCTCACCACACACAGAAACCTCTGCCAGCTCTTCCTTGTCCCTCACTACACACATAGACCTCTGCCAACTCTTCCTTGTCCTCGCAGCCCAGCGACATGCATGCCCTGATCCTTAGGGTTTTGGTTTCAGGGATGTGTTGGCCTGAGCCCCCCTCACACATGTGCACACCCCCCACACACCTTTTTGGCAGGTAAAGAACCTTCTTGTTGGGAGGTCCTTGACTGTCCCTGCCTTGGGGCAGGTACACAAGTCACCCTTGCAGCTCATCCTTGGAAGGAAAAGCCCCAATTGCTGCTGAACTCATCCTTCAGACCCACCTAGAAGTGCAGCCTCAAGATTAAAAAAAAAAAAAATGGGATTTCTTCTTCCCCTCACTTGTCTTTCCAAGCTCTCTCCTGTTGCCTCCTGCAGCTCCCCCTCCCCATCCCTGCCTGGCCCAGGCACCGGGCACAGCGGTGGGCTTGCAGCCCTGCATGTTACCATGGATGTTACCCACTGATCTCCCTTTTCTCTCTCTCTCTCTTTCTCTCTCTCTCCCTTTGATTTTCATTTGTATTTTTTTCCCTCCCCTGCTGTCTGGATCCCAGAAATCCCGTAAGGTAAAGATAAGTGTGACCCACTGCACCTCCATCTCATCTGCCATCGGCACCTTGTTCTTCTCTGTTTTCCATTCAGATCTGAGTGTTTCACCCACCCCCCATCTGACCCAGCAGCTTTAGGATCTCTGTAGATTAGAGCCACTTTGTTTCCTCTTTTGTCATTCATTTCCAGCCAGTTGTTACATTTTGTTTCGGAAGCATTTCAATTAATCCAGTCATGGTTTATTTTTTGTGTGTTAACTCCACGAAGCATTAGTTAGTGATTCATATAACTGCGTCTCTGCCTCGCTGCCGTGTCTCTGGGGCCATCCCAGGTGCACAGGAGGGGACATTGCTCCTGTCATCTTCCCAGTGTTGTGTTGAAGACTCACCCATGCTGTGCAGTTGGGGTTGTGGGGTGACAGCAAGGATGGGGGAGGGTCTTTCTCTTCCAAACTCACAACCTTGTGAGATGCAGGAGAACCTCCTTTAGCCACTTGCTGTAGGGAACCCATAGCAGCTGGATGAACCCAAAGCAGCTGGATGAACCCAAGCTCAATCCCTCTGGTATGAGTTTGGATTTAAACTTTAGTCCTGCTGAGACTGAAGCAATTATTTGTTGACTTGGTTTTGGGGGTCACACCAAGCCAGAGGTCTCCGTGTCTAAGGGAGGAAGGCAGGGAGTGGGGCAATGTGGGGGACAGGCAGGTATCGCTTGCATTCCCACCAGCCTGGTTTCTGGTTGTGCATGGGTGTCTGCTCTTGCAGTCTCCTTTCATCCCCACAATGCTGGGCTAATGCCCAGCTTAGGCATAGCCTGGCATCTTCTCCATCTCACCTTCTTCCCTCTCCTCCTCAGGTGCCTCACACCTTCCTGAACCTGAAGGAACCATTTTATGTGGGAGGAGCCCCTGATTTCAGCAAGCTAGCTCGAGCAGCTGCCATCTCTACCAGCTTTGATGGAGCTGTGCAGAGGGTAAGGTCCTATGGGGCAGCTGGGAGAGGTGCCACCTGCACCAGCATTGCTGGAGGAGAGTGAGGATGAGCCTTGGACCTCAGCATGGGTCCCTGTGCTCAGGGGACACGCCCAGTTGAAAAGTGGCAGCGGTGGGTGGCAGAAGGGGAGGTGAGGGTGCATCACAGGAGCACGTGGGGTTGGGGCTGGTTTCCCATCTCCCCTTTCCCCCCAGGGTGCTGACCTCTGTGTCCCCATGGAGACATAAGCTGGTGAAGGCTGACACTTGTTCTTCCTCTTCCTTGCATCTGCCAGATCTCCATCAAGGGAGTGCCTGTGCTGAAGGAGCAGAACATCCGCAGTGCCATTGAGATCTCCCCGTTCCGAGGTCACCCCTGTACCCAGAAACCCAATCCTTGCCAGAACGGGGGCACGTGCAGCCCCCGGCTAGAGAGCTACGAGTGTGCCTGCCAGAGGGGCTTCTCCGGGGCTCACTGTGAGAAAGGTGAGACTGCCAGGGTAGGGCTGGACATGGACCCTCACCCACCAGCCAGACACAGCAATGAAACTGCTTTGATGCTTAGCAGGTGGCAACAGGACAGAGAAGGTCTTTTCCTAAGACCTTCACCTGAGGTCTTGCCCTTGTAGTGGCTGCTGGGAGGGGTCCAGGGGACACTAGTGGTGGCATTTGCAGGCTGGCACTGTTGTGCAGCTGTGAAGTCAGGGAGATGCCATTTCTCAGAACTGTGGGCATGACACTGCATGAGACCAGGTGAGTGCTGCTGCCCAGGGGTAGAGCACCCAGCCCTGTCACCTTGACCCTCTCTTATGTTGCTCTGCTCACCTGAAGCAACCTGAGGCAGGGAAATGTGGTTTGGTGCTGTAGCAAACTCACCTGCAGGGCCTGAGCAATGCCCAGCTGTCTCCAGATCAGGATTTCTTTCCTGCTACCTGCTGAGATTAACCCTTGGACCACCACCAAGCCTACCTTCCTCCCCAGCTTCAGTCAGGAAACCAACAAGGCTGCAGGTTTCATGTCAGTTGGCTGCCAGAAGACAGGGAGATGATCCAAACTCCCAGGCTCTAAACCCACAGCAAAGCTTTGCAGGGGTTTGCTTAGAGGGTCACAGTGCTGCCATGCCCCAGGGGATGGCAGGTTTGTTCCCACCTTCACCCTGGTATGAACACTCACTGTAAAGGGGGATTTTCCTAGTCTCCAAGGATGGACAGGCCATGCTACGTTGCCTGACAGCTCTTCTTTTTCCCCACCTCCAGTGATCATTGAGAAGGCTGCTGGAGATGCAGAGGCCATTGCTTTTGATGGTAGGACATACATGGAGTACCACAATGCCGTGACAAAGAGGTAACTTGGCTGCTGAGCTGAACCAAGGTCAATACAATAAGTTAGAGCTGTTAGCAGGAGGAAGGGCTAGGGTCAAAGAAGTCCCACGTGCAGTGGTCAAAGAGGGCAAGCCAAACTGGGGTCATGAGCACTTGCTTCCAGCCCTTACCTCTAAAGCTACCTTGTTGACAGAGGGTTTTCCCCACTATGGCAGTGCCTGGCCAACTTCAGGTCTGGATGCTCTTATTCTGCAGCGTGGGCCACCTTCTGGGTTAGCACAGTGGTTTGGGAGTGGAGTGGAGTGTGTCCCATGAAGGTGGTTAATGTGGCCTGTGCTCCTGGTTGGTGCCTTTCTTTGCCCACATGCTCAGGGATGGGTTGTGGGCTGGGTGAGCTCAGAGGTAGCTCTGCCTGTGGTTTAATTCATGCCTGTCTGCCAGCTCCTTTGTCTCCGTGGCTGTTTGTCCAACAAGGGTTGGTTCTACCAGCAGGGATGGGCCATTACTGCTGTGGGACATGGACAGCCTTCTCCAGTACCTGCTCTACCCCAACCCCATGGGCTAGGGGTACATGTTTGGACCCTGTGGTCTCTGTGACTATACTAGTCCCTGGGGCTTCTCTCTCAAGATGAGCAGAGCCTGGTTCAGAGCTGCTGACTGAGGTCTTCTTCAGCCTCTGGGCTGGAGATTTCTCCTACAAGAGACTCTTGGCCCACTGCAGTCTGGCTCAGTACCCTTCCTCAGCACTGTGCTCCTACAGCCTAATTCCCAGGCCTAATTAGCCTAATTACAGGCTAATTCCCAGCTCCACGGCACTGGGACATGGTACTGGATTAGGCTCCATCCATCTTCCAGCCTCAGGTTCCCCGCTGCTCTAACACTCTGCCTGGGGAGGACATCCCTGTTGAGCTGTTTGTCAGTCTCTGTCTGTCTGTCTCTTCTCAATGTCCTTGTTTCTTTGTTTTCAAGCCACCTTACCAATGAGATCCCCGCGTAAGTACTCTCCCCCCCACTGCCCAGTTCCTCCATCTGCCCTCCACCACCTCTCCCATTGCCACCTTGACCACCAGCCCACCCACAAGGGAGCACAGGGTGGGTGTGGGAGGAGGAATACGGGTGTTCTCCCAGGGGTCTGCCCTGGGCAGGCGTTCCCATCTCAGGGTGAGCAGGACACAGGTACTGAGCACAGCTCTGGCTGCTGGACAGGAGCCCAAACACAGCCAAGATGCAGCAGAAGCTCCATTGCCTGGCTCTGCTGCAACTTTGCCTTAGTTTAAGTGGGTGAGCACAGAAGATCGATAGAAGAAGAAGTTCCTGTGACTTATCTCTTCCATGAGCAGCAAAGGCATGGGTGATGGAATTAAGGGGTGATGGAATTAAGGGGTGCTAATCCTGCCCTGATTCTTCCAGCACATATGTAGTGTTGCTGCCATAGCGAGGAGGCCAGGCTGGGTGGTAGAACATCCCCCAGTCAAGGGTGCGCAGCCTGGACAACCCTTCACAACGAACAGTGGGGCCAGGAGGGCAGAAGAAGGATTCTTCTTCCCTAGAGTGGCTTTGACAGCAGTTGATTTGCTGTCTGTCCATCTTGCTGGATGGCAGGAGTGGAGGAGAAAGCGCTGGTTCATGCAGCTCTATTCCCCACTGTGTGAGGGGGAGTTTGAGTGTCACCTGCCTGTCACATCCCCATTTCACTTCATTTTCTACCAGCTGGGGTGTGACAGAGGCTGGGGAGGCTGAGCATGCGTGCATGACAACACCTGAGGAGCCACAGAGCCCATCACTTGCATGTTCACAACAGTTTGGGAGGTGCTCTGGTGTTTTGGAAAGGGTTTTTTAGGAGCCAAGCATCCTCCTAAGCTAGACAGTGTCCTACAGCTGCGAGAGGCATGTAGTGGCCTGAATGACAACTCCACCACGTGGCAGAATGTCCTGCTGTCCCCTTTCCAGGCGTGACCTGCATCCCTGCAGACAAGCAGAAAGCTGCTGCCTTTGTGTCCTGCCTCTCCCAGTGCCCTGCAAAGGGAAGGTCACCATCCCCAGCCGATTGTGGCAGCACGTGCCCCATCCTGCGAGCGAACTCAGCCCTTGTCCCCAGATCCTCTCTGCTGGGATTTGGCAGAGGTTCTCACTCACCCCTTGAAGGCTGAAGGACCCATGGTGCTGCCCATAAAAAGTAGTTTCTCCTGCCTCCAGGCAGACATCAGGGTGTGTCTCGGGCAGGACTCACTAATTGCTTCTCTGCTGGCCATGACGTGCCCGTGCTATTTATTTTTTTGAACATACATTTTTATATCTCCATCCAGTCAGAGCTGATGGTAACGCTGGACCTGTTAGTCCCTAACGCTCGTGGGGCAGTGCCAGCAGGACAGCTGGAGTCCTGGGTTTCCCCTTCTCCATGTGCTGCCCAAGTGTCCCAAGGCTGACTCAGAGGCTTTATGTGACAATTCAGCTCTCTCCCTACATGGGAGCCCATTCTCCAGCATCCCAGAGGACCAACCTGAGACCTGTCTGGGAAAGGGTCCTCGTGCAGGTCCATGTACCCAAACCTCCCTTCCCTGCTCTTTGTTCCATCCTGGGAGGTCCTTTGCTGGATGCACATCCCAGAATGGGTTGATTAGCAGGAACAGTGATAGTTCTGACCCAGGAGAACATTGGAGTGTCCCTGCACTGCTGGGACAGGACTGTAGAATCACTCCTGACATCATTATACTCACCCTGGCTAAAGCAACAACTTCCCCACTTGGCTTGAGGAAGCTCAGCCCCAAGGATGGTGGTTTTTTCTCAGCTTGGGCGTTGTGTAGGGTGAAGAACTGTCACTGTTGAGCAGGGCTGTTCCCTGTCCAGGAGTGGGGTGGGAGGGAAGGGTCTCCTCTGCTGCCCCGTGCTTATCGCATGCTCCCCTTTCTTCCCGCATCTAAGTCCCGAAGCGCTGGACTATCCCGTGGAGCTCAGGTGAGTCTGTCCAGGCTTTCAGCTCTTGTGTCTTGTGCGTTGCTGGTGCTGCCTCAGCATGTCTCTGTCTCTGTGCCTGTTCTGTGTGTCCACACCCTTGGCTTTTTATTGATAAGGGATACAGCTCTGCAGATGATGAGAGTCAACGTGGAGTAAGGTTCCTCCAGCACAGGAACAGCAGCTCCTGTGCAGGTCCAGCTCTGACCCTTGCTCCTAGGAACCTAGACAGAAAATAGCTACGAGTGAGGGGAGAGGCTGAGTTACCTTGACCATGCAGCCCTTGTCCAACCCTTTGGACATGGTGTCCCTTGGGAATAAAAAGCTGTCTGTGTTGCCCATGTTGTCTGGTCTATGTGTGCACATGTGTCAGCTGTGTGTCTTGGAGCATCCCAGGAGAGTAGATGGCAACTCCGTATGGAACCTCACCTGTTGCCAAGAGCATTTTGCCTCTTCCAAAAGGGATTGAGCAAAGTTGGGGATGCCAATGGGGGGAAATTCTGTCCTTCCTTCATTCCTCCCTTGGGAAAAGACACCACATCTAGGAGAAAGAAGGCTTTGCTGCCTCTGTGGATGGTCTCTGTCCCATTCAAACTGTGGGATGTCGATCACCTCCAGTCCCCAGCTTTGGCTTCCCTTTGGGCTTTGGTCAAGCAGAGGCAGCAGTGGAGCAAATGCCTCCACAGCTGATGGCTGGGTGGTGATGGCATGGGGAGCCGTGGTCCCCAGGCACCCCAACTCTGCTTGTACCTTGGACACGTACCAGCAGGGTGATGAAACGGTGTTGACTCCAGCTCAGCTGCTGCCCACAATCCTTCTGATCTGACCTTTCCCAAATCAAAGGCAAGTGTTTGATTTGAGACCCTCCTGCTGGCTCCATTGGGCCTGGGCCAGTACTGCTCAGCAGCCCAGGTAACAAACATCTTCCTTCAGCACCTGCATATGAGGAGGCAATACCAGGACTTGTGTGTCACAGCTTGCAGGGATGGATGTGTCCGAACTTGATGCTCCATGGAGGGCAAAAACAAGGGGCAATAGCTGCAGATTGTGTCTTTGGGGGGTTCAAGCTGAATGTTGGGGAAAACACTTCATCCCCAGGAGAACTGTGCAGCCCCAGCTCAGGTCAG